TGGCACTTCACAACAACAACAGTCGAGTACTGATTATGAAGCCATTGAGGCTAGGTCAAGTGGGTACTCTCTGGAAGTTTGGGTGTTCTTGTGCTCTCCCCTCACTTGATAACAACTGGATTCTTCACTGTCAGCTGTAGCCCTCTGTGGCTATGTCCTTGTCCATGGGCTTAGGAGTCCCCCTGACATGAGTTTTTACTTAATGCTGTACAGAAGTTGGGATCAGCAGCTTGCTTGCTGTTTTGTAATAGAAGAATCACAAGAAAGGAGGAGCAAACAAGCAGAAAAGATTGTGACTTTGATTGCCTGCGCTCATATTCCATCTGCAATGCACAACTCCATAACCATGGACATCTCATGTAGGCTCATAGGTAAAAGGAGTACCTCGCTCAGTTTTTTTTGTCTTTGGTTCTTTTTGTGAGAGTTAAATGAGGTATATAGTACACTGAAAGTCGCTAGCATAGTCCCTGGTGTGGCTTTGTAGGATGGATAAGTGTAGGATGGATCACAAGGTCTGTTTGAACTGTAAGGTCAGCAGTTCAAACTCACCATCCACTCCTTGGAAACTCTATACAGGATCGTTATGAGTCAGAACCTGACTTGACTCGACGGCACTAAAGCAACAGCAACAACATAGTCCCTGCTATTAGAAAACTCAGTAAATATTACCTGTTAGCTATTATTATTATTATTATATACAGTAGTCTTGAAACTGCCCACAAAAAGTAAAAGAAAGTCTGATTTTCCTCTCCAACTTTAGATCATGACAGAAAGAACTAAGGAATTAGTTTAGTCTTTTGTTATTTTTTAAAAATTAAATCTATAATATGGAGGTGGGGGCAGTGTTTAATGGTCATTCAAGAGTTGTGGTAGTATGGCATTCTGTTAATTGTACCACAATTTCTGCTTTTTTCCTGTTTCTGATTGGAAATATGGATATTTATCTTTTTTTGCATTAATGCTTTTATTTTTCTTTTGACAACTTAGTTATGTCAGCTGGATTCCTGGTGTGGTACTATAGGGTAAAGCACTTGACTGCAAGGCCGATGACTCAAACTCATGAGCGGCTCTTCGGAAACCCTATACAGTGTCACTGTGGGTCAGAACTAACTCAACGTCACTTCACAACATCAGAGAAGTAAATGCAACTAGAATTTCTTTTTTCTTGAACAGTTTCTGATGATTGTTCAACTCCTTCAAGGGAGGAAAGTGCATGTTCTCCAGTCTCCACACCTGCCACCACTCTGCACCTGCTGCAGCTCTCTGGACAGAGATCCCTTGCTCAGGAGAGTCTTTCGACGTAAGTAAGCCAAAATTACTTTGTGCAAAGGAGGCATATGTCTGAGGGGCTTAGACTAGCTTAAAAGAACTAAAATGACCTGTTTGTCTGAAAAAGTTAAGAGTCTCTAGGTTTTAGAATTTCTGAGGTTAGCACTTATCTTTTAGAGCCAGATTGATCTGTTTTACCATTTGGAACCTTTATAATAGTAGCTCAAAGGTTTCATTAGTGTAGAAAACACTTATTTAGAGAATGTACACCAAAACTAGCATCCTGGTACTCCATTTTATCCTTTATTTTTCCTATTTAACAGCATAGTCTAAAGAGTAGGTTGGCAGTAGTTGGCTTTTTTTGCTCTGCATTATAGAGGGTTTGTTGTTGTTTGTTTTTTTAGTGTTTACCTGTGCTTTATTGACTATGCAGAGGCTTTCGATTCTGTGGATCATGACAAGCAATGGACAACGTTGTGAAGTATGAGTATTCTGGAACACTTATTTGTGTTCATGAGGAATCTGTACATGACCAAAGGTAGTTTTTCGAACAGAACATGGAAACACTGAATAGTTTAAAATTAAGAAAGGTGTGCAACAGGGTGATAGTCTTTCACCATACTTATTTAACCTATATGCTGAGCAGATAATCTGAGAAGATAGGTTATATGAAG